TGCTCAATATTATGTTCCTGGAATTTGTCCCTGATGTGCATGCAGCTGAGGATCATTTATTTGTTCATCTGAATTGAATTTTAAGGTATACCACAATTTATTTATCCAGCCTGCTTTAGTTTTATCCCATGGTTTGATATGTAGCAATTTCATTATTGTTCAGTTCTAAATATATTTGAATATCAGCTATGATTTATTTGACCCCTGAGCTACTCAGAAATATATTTTAAATTTTTTTCAAGTACATCCAGATATTTTATTTGTTTTTTATGCCTGGGTTTCTTTTTTCTTAGAATATAGTTTACAGATTCTAAGAAGCATAGCATATAGCACATATATAATTTAAAAATTCCTAGTTGCCACATTAAAAAAACTAAAACCGAACAAGTAAAAATCAAATTTAAAAGTGTATTTTATTTAACCCAATATATCTAAAACATTATTATTTAAATATGTAACCAGGGCTGGAGCTTAGAATTTGTCCAGCATGTGCAAGGCCTTGAGTTCAATTCCCAGCACTGTAAAAAACAATAAAATCATTGTATACAATTTAAATGTAGTTAGAAAGTCCTAACTAGCCTTCCCCATAAATAAATATGTAATCATCTTTAAAAGTTATTACAGCTATTTCCCTGTTTGTTGTTGGTTTGTGCTTTGTTTTGTTTCTAATATCTATATGAAACTAATGGCTACCATATTAGACAACGCAGGTTTACTTTCTGGTCAAGTATGTGGTCAGTTTTGTATGAACTGGAAAATAATTGTGTATCTTCCCACAACTTGCATACAAGATTCTATAGGTGAACCTTAACTCAGTCTTATCATTTGCATTAGATCTTTTGTATCTTCACTGATTTTTTTTTCTTTGTTTGATCCTTGGTTGCTACATTACACAGCTACAAGAGAGCCATTTACAAAACAGTCTCAAGTTCTGCAGTGTCCATTTCCATGACCATATTTGGTGTTCCTGGATTGACTTACCTATGACTGAGGGATCTGTATTGAATTCTATCACAATGGTGTGTGTTTGACAGGTTTTTCTTTACAGTTCTATAAAATTTTGCTTTATATGTTTGATCCTATTCTAACAGATACATGTAAGCTTAGAATGTTCATAGTAATTTAAACCTATTATCATTATCAGCCACCAATAATGACTTTGTCTTAAAGTCTCTTGCTTGATAATAGTAGTTACATTCTTCTTTCCCTTTAATATATCCCTGTTACATATTTTCAAATTTTTTTCTTTCGTCTTTACATGTCCTAATGTTTTAGGAATGTTTTTCCTAAAGTGCATACAGCTAGGGTTGGTTTGTTGATAGCATCTATTTTTCTCTTCTAATCCCTTATTTTTATTATTATTTGAAGCTTTCTGTTCCACTTTTTCTTACCTGCGGCCTTTTTGGAGGAGGATTGTTGGATTTTGTATATTTTCTTAATGTTTTTTTTTTTCCCCCCCACAAACAGTGTGTTTAATTTCTATTCTTTTAGTAGGTACACTTGAGATTTTCCTGTGGCTCTTTAGTGAAGTCCAAAGTTAAACTCTTGAATAATGCATGGACCAAAGAGTACATGAGACAGAGCTCCCCCCTGATGTAGGTACTACCTCTTTGTCCAGTTTGCTTTTTGGTCACTCCTCCAAAGCACATAACCAAAATGATTATTTTGAATAGGCAGTATTAGCTTATATTTACCTATGTGCAAGGCTGGCTACATAATTTTCAGGATTCAAAAAGAAAATGTAAGACCCTTTGTTAAAGAAGCTTTTTGCTTTCTTGAAGAGTTTCTCACTCAACCTTCCATGGTGGGCTTTTGTGTTCTGTTTTATGTCATGCTCCTTTGAGCAGGCATGTATTACAGTAAAGACAGCAGCAGTGCCTATGTGAAGGCAGGGGAGACGGTAGCTAAAATCAGTCTGGGGAAGGCAAAGCAGTAGCAAAAGGTGAAACTGTATCAGAATCAATGCTCCAAGCCCCTAGCACATGCTTGACTGAGCCACTAGTCTTCACTTAAAAATACAAATCCAGAGACAAAACTGTTAAGAAATTCAGGATGGTGCCTACAGATTATTAAGCCTGAAGCACAGCCCTTGTCAAAACCTAGGCCTTGTACAACTGCCCTCAAAGACCTGTCCCTGCCTATGTGTCTGATAGTGTCTCTGTACCATACCATTTCTTTTTGTATGTCTGACCTTCTGAGATTGTATTGCAGCCTGCAGCGCATGTTCTTTAGAAGCTTCTTGTGGTGGATTAACTAATGGTCAACTTGTAACACCCAGCTGAACTGAATCAGTGTGGTGCTGGGCGTGGAAGGCCGCCTGGGGATTGTTGCCAGCAGCATGAAAGGAGAACTGGAGGGGAAGATGGTGCACTGTTGATCCTCCTGGAGAAGCGTGTCATGCTGGTTTTTCTGATAGGAACTTAGCCGTTATCATCAGAGAAGCTCGGGACCTTGGTGTTGCTGAAGATGTCTGTAATTCTCTTTGGGGGAGCTTTGGTCCTTACCTTGAGCATCGCTTCCTGGCTCCAGTTCTGATCCCTCACCCTGCTGGCACAGAGCCTTCATCCTGCTGGTGTGGACTTTCTAGCTTCCACCACTGACCTTTGAGCCTTCCCAGCGCAGATCCTTGATACAGACTTGCATGAGACCTTGTCATGAGCCCTAGGCCTCCAGCTGGATGCATGGAGGTCATTGCCATGGACTCTAGGTCTTCACCTGGACTTGCGCAGGACATTGCCGTGGGATCCAGGTCCTCAGCTGGATTCTTGGGGTTTCTAGTATCTGGACAGATCTCCCATACTCTTTTGCATTTGACACTTTGGGTGAATATTATAAAATAATCCCATAAATTCTGTGTCCTGTATTAAATCTTTTCCCTGGCTATAACACTCCTTTACTTAAGATCCTTGAGTCTGTGGTAACCTCTCCATTTTTGTTTATCTGAGTATGTTTTTATTTCAGCTTGATTCTGAAAGGATTTTGCTGGGTAAACATTTAAGTTCATGGTTATTTTCTCATAGGTCTTTTAAGGACATGTGTCCTTATAGGACTTTCTGTTTCTGTTTTCTGTCATCCTTTGTTTTTGTTGAGAAAAAATATTTCAGTATATGTAGTTTCTTTTGAAGATTTTCTTTGACTTTTTAAAAGGCAGTCTCTTTAACTCTGGTGTTTGTCATTTTCACAGTGAGATGCCCAGATGTGGGATTTATTTTTATTTATCTTTCTTGGAATCCAGTGATTTCTCTGGATTTATTGGATAAATTGGAATTTTTTGTTATTAGTCTGGACCATTTCCTTCAAGTACTGCTACCTCTCCTTTTTTTTTGCCTGAAATAGTGAACACACACACACATACACCCATGCAATCTTTTCATTCTAGCCTTCATATTTTAACTTCTCTTTTATATTTTCCATGCTTTCATACTAAATGCTCTATAATATTTTTGAATTGACCTTTTATTGCTTAATTTTGCAGCTGTATATTATCTGCTATAGGACTATCCCTGAGTTTTAAATCTCAATTATTATATTTTTCATTGCTAAAGTCCAGTTTGGTTCTTTCTCAGATTTCAATCGTTAAGTTAGTCTTCTATTCCTTGTAACATTTTGAAAATCTTAATATTCTCTCTGAAAATTCCTCATCTTTGGAATTTGTCATTTGATTATGTTGGTATATGTACCCATGTAGCCTTCCTTTCACTGCCACTAATTTTTATGTGTTGATTTTGTATCCTGAAACTTTACTAAATTTGTTTATTAGTCCCAAGAGTTTTTTTTTTCTGGTAGAGTCTTTGGGGTTTTTTATATGTAAGATTGCATCATCTACAAACTGACAATCTCACTTCTTTTTTTCCAATTTGGAGGCCTTTCATTTCTTTCTCTTCTGATTGCTCCAGCTAAGACTTGCAGTGCTTTATTGAATAAAAGTAATAAAGGTGGGCATCTTATGCCTGTTTCAAATCTTAGAAAGCTTTCAGCTTTCTCTCATTCATTGTAATAATAGGTGTTGGTTTATTACATATGATCTTTATTATGTTGGAGTAGATTCTATACCTTATATAGTCAGTGTGTTTATCAGGAAGAGATGTTAATTTTATCAAGTGCCTTTTCTACAGCTATAAAAATGATCGCATAATTTTTGTCCTCATTCTGTTGATGTGGTCTATCATATTTATTGATTTGTGTATGTTAAACAATCTTGTATCCCTGCATTGAATCCCACTTACTGAGTAATCTTTTATGTGCTGTTAGACTCAGTTCGCTTTTTTGAAAAAATTTACATTTATGTTTATCAAGGATACTAGCCTGTAGCATTCTTTTTTTTATGTCCTTGTCTGATTTTAATATCAGGATAATGCTGGTTTTATAGAATGTGTTTGGAGGAATCCTCTCCTCTTTTGTTTTTTGGAATAATTTAAGAAGAGTTGGTTTAAGTTTTTTAAATGTTTGGTAGAATTCAGCAGTGAAACCATCTGATTCCTGGGTTTTCTTTCACAGGAAGCTTGTAATTACTGATCTTATCTTGTTACTTGTTTTTTTCTAATTTCTAATACATTTTGTACTACATCCCATTCCTGATAATTACCTTCTACTTAATTTGGTTTGTTCTTATTAGTATAGTAGATCAATAGAAGAAAAATAAATTTAGCAGAAACAGTGAACATTTATTGACTTTATGGCACACGTATTTTTCTTGTCTTAGAAACAAAATATTGTTTGGAGTTACAATTCAGTCATGAACTTTTGGAAGGACAGCTTACAACATTTTATTCTATTTGTAACTCCACATATGTTGTTACTGCGTCTTGCAAAAATAATAACATTATTAAATAAGAAAACTATGAAAACTACCTTATTTTCAGTGTTTGTAAATTGCTGTTAACAGTTATATGTATGGTCTCACACTGAACTGTGAGAGATATTTTCCAAGCCAGGAACTGTAATTTAGGAAGAGTGTTAGGGTTGAGTCTGGACTCATTTGCTGGGCTTATGATTTTCAGGGAATTGATGCTGATTTCACATCAGAAAAGCATTGAGCAGCTGCGGGAAACCCTGAGACAGAAGCTGCTGAGCGATGAGAACTGGAGGGAGAAGGTAACAGTGTGTGATTCTCATCCCCACGTGTCTCATTTGCCTGTTAAAAGTCTGCCTGTTAGAAGACTACGCCAGATAGAGTTCTTGGCTTCTGTACACGCTTTTGATTCCCTCTGGAATTTCCCACACAAAATACACTTATTATCTGTGTATTTCTCAAAATATTAGACAACATAATGAGAAATAGAAAATGAGAACAGATTTTGAAATCTTTTAATGTTAAAATGGTCCTTGGTTCTCATGCAGAAGCATAATTTTTACTTACAAATGTGTACACTTTTTTCAACATATCTGGATCTGTATTTGATCACATTCTTTTTTAATTTTTATTTTTATTAGTACATGTTTATAGTAATATAATAATTATATTCACCATGGGGAGTTGGCATATGTACATAACACATCTTAATTCCTCTTATGTCTCCTTTTCCTCCTTTCCCTTCCCTGTTTAAAATAGGGGAATACTAATTTTTATAAATTCTGTGCTTCTCTCATAAGGAGATAATGTAGGAGAATGGAAAATTACTTAAAATTATTATGAAATTTTGACATATTTATCTCGGCAAAGTAAAATGAATAAAGATTTAGCTTGATATTATTTATAAAGAAATGTTTGCTCTTTAGTGTATAGAAAAAATTGGGTCTTTAGGCTTTTCTATAATGTTATGTTTTAGGAGTATGTTTTACCTTCACAATTTTAAATAATACAAGTAAGTTTTTTCTTTTTTTTTTTTAATTTCTTATTTTTTTTATTTTAAAGATAAAAGGAGGGAAACATTAACAGACATACAACATTTTACAACATATCACAAGCACAATACAGACAACACAGAGTTACAAACAAAGTGGTAGGGAATTAACAATGGTAGTTGTATTACATATTGATATCTTCAAAGTGGCTTCTCGTGAAAACAGATACAAGTAAGTTTTCATTGCTGGTCCTTACCTGCTCAGGCCGTGCACGGGTCTTGTCACTGAGGTGAAGACTGTCACATCAGCACTACTTCTCTTCTTCAGTTTGTGTCTGTGTCTAGCACTGGCCTGTGTTTGTTTTGTTCTGTGGTGCTGGTGACTACACACAGATCTTTCCACATGCTAGGTGAGCAGTGCACCATGAGCTATACCTGTGGCCCAGGGTTTTTCTTAAATTATTTTTAAAAATTTTTTTCTAGAATTGGAGCTGGCCATTGAAATTCAGAGTGTTTGGCTGAAACCCTGGCAACTTGCTTAGTTATTATCAGATTTATCTCCTTGGGAACTGGATCCTATAATTTTTATCCTCAAGCAATAACCAGCAGCCACCTTCAAACTAACAATTCCCCCCAGAACCCGCCACCACCCGCCTGCTATCCAACAGATCAAAACCCTTAGGTACTGCTGCTGGCGCACATCAGCCCTAAATTTGTCACCTTCATCATGTTTTCAAACATACTCAGCCAGGAGGGAATAAAACCACATACTGAGCCGGGACCCCCCTTCATGAATCAATCCCTCTTTCTTGTCTCGTAGGATATAGTCAGACTATAATAAAAATGATCACATAGAAACAGCTTCATAGAGGTGAAAACAAAATGTGTGAATATGAGCTGCAGTTGCTGTAAGTGTCATTCTTACCTGGTGTGGGAGCACAGGCCTTTTCCTCCTTTGAATTCCACACATCTTTAACCCTTTCTCATGTTTGAGCCTACGTGTACCAAATTGGCTGGCCTGTTACAATTCACTTCCCCTGTCCTTACCAATGCATGTTACAGAAATTTTTTAAGAAGTCCAAAATATACTACAAAGTAAAATTAGAGGCTATTAAAAAATTAGTGTGTATTTTAACCCTCCAATTGATAGAATTGTTTGGGCTGTGTGATGAAGGTCTATGAAATAGCCTCTCAAACTCACTCTTTAAGGGACTGGAAATTAAAACAACCTTTCAGTCAATATATGAGAGATACTGTAAACGTCCCTCTCTTGAGCCAGAAAAAAATTTTTAAACATTCTAAATGAAATTTATTATATATAGTTAAAGTCAATGATTTGTAATTAGATAAATATGATCATGTAGTCTCTATTCCAGAATACAAGGTGAGTTTAACATTACAAATCATTGCACATTGTTCACTACATTAGTATAAAAGGAAGAAAAGAAATGACCATCTCAGAGATGCAGAAAGATCATTTGAAAAACTGAACACCCATTCAAGATAAAAAAAATTCTTGGTAAATTAGGCTTTGAAAAGAAATTCCTTGAACCAGATAAAGTATGCTTATGTTAAAACTGCTATTAACAACTATTTTGTTTGTTGTTTTTTTTTTTTTTTTTGGTTTTTCTCCGGTACCGGTAACCGAACTCATGACCTTGCGCTTGCCAGGCAGGCACTTTTGCCGCTGAGCTAAATCCCCAGCCCTATTAACAACTATTTTGAAGACAACAATATGCACTATAGCAACCACTGCTGAATTTATATTATCTTGTTTTTGAAATTCTGTTTTGTCTCTCTGATGAAATTAGCATTGATACAAATACGACATTTCTTTCCTTTCCTCCCTGCTAAGTTCCTTCTCTTAGATAGATGGAGTGAACTTCTTGCTGTGCTCCGGTAGAGGTTCTGTGTCTCTGTGGTCACGTTCTACTAGGGGGTTTCAACTGCATTTAACTAGAGAAGAGGGTCTGTGCCTCTGACCCACTCTGGTGCTCCTGCTCCCTACTGCCTGATCCTGACGTGCTGCTAACACACGGAGGAGACCAAGTCAGTGTTAGCACTCCTCTGATCACAGAGAAGCATTTATGTTCTTACTTTATGCCCTTAATTTGACAGGAAAATAATCCTGTGTACTATTCTTAAAGCTCTTATGAAGACCTTATCTATATTAATTATATCACAGAATATTGTCGTATACCATTTTTGTACATTAATGGACATTTAAAAAATTTTTATAGTATAAATGAACATTTCATTTTGTTGAGCAGACATGACTTCTGGTTAGTAAATGTTATCATTTAATTCCCAATAAATCAAGAACCAGACAGGTAAAGCCAGGGAATGGTAATTATGTCTCAGCCATATTAGCTACTAAGACTATTTAAAGTTCCTTAAAAGTCCTCTCAGAAGAAAGGAGAATCGCTAATATGATATTGTCATCTCTTTCTTGGGTCACCGTGCCTTTGCATAAGGAATGACATGTTCCTTTTACAAATACATAATACACATATTAGAATAAACTTCATAACTTAAATGCTTTCAACATTCAGAAAAAGTACATAGCAATTTGTGCTTAATTATTTCAGAGTATGTAAAAAGCACATAATAGGATCAATTGTTGCTATGCGACAAGGATGGCACATTTTAAAATAACTGTATTTACTAATTGTCATGGATTTCTGTTTATTTCAAGTATTACTTTGATCCAAAGAAAGAAAATTAATGTGCATGCCAAACCTTTAAAATTGGTTCCAAATGCACAATGTAGTTACTATTCCGTTAAACTTTTGTAATTGAAAGATATATTTTAGCCAGACTGCTTACATAATTAATTTATAGCTCTTACTGACTATCACGTTTTAGTAAAGCAAATTCAAACCAAATACTTTCTTAGATTGTCCTCAAGATATTACATTTTAGAATTGCACTATTAGCCTCATTTTAAGTAATACACAAAACTTTTGAAAACAAAACTTTACTTCCTGACTAGAGTAACTGCATTGATAGTGAAAATAGAGGAGACTTTACTTTAAGACATAGTAAATTAAAAAGAAATTACCCTAGAGAAAAAGAAATAGTAGATTATGATTTTTAAAGAGAAACAAAAAAATAATCATTTTTTTTCAAATGGTAGAACTAAATGACCTAATAATTCATAAGGTGGTATGAGGTACTATTAATGAAATAAAACAGCATGTGAAATACAAAATTTAACAAGTATGAAGTTATTTATACAATACCTATTATACATAACATATGGCTAGAAAGAATACTTAGGGCCCAGCTTTTAGAATTATGTTATATAATTATAATAATTGAATTAATAAAATCCCAAAATTTTAGATCTGAAATTATTGCAAAGATTAGCTGATATTAATCATTAATCTAGGTTATACAAATAGTCTCTATTATTATGGTATTTACTAAATGCTAGACTTCATGTTGATTGCTTTCTAAAAATGTAATTCTAACCACTGTAACATTATTATTCCCATTTTGCGCATGAAAAAAAAAGTAAAATTCAGAGAAGTTAGGTAATTTCCCAAGGTTATAAAGCCAGGAAATGAACTGAGAATTAACCTCTCTGAATCTAAATACAAAGTCCAAAACTTCCACATTTATCTAAAATGTAATCACAAGGACTAGGTTTATCCTTCCACTTGAAACAAATAAAGCATTGAAGAAAAGACAGAAAACAGTGGTTTCAAGACATCAGACAATGAAGAACAAGAGACAAATCAGGTGAGCCTCTTACAAGTGTCATAACTCAGTACCTTGAAAGAAATTTCAGGCCGTGACTTAGGGAAAGGGAATCCAGGTTGAGCTTGGCAGATTCTCTCACTTGAGGAGACCTTGCTGTGCGTCAAGGTAGATTGAAGTAGCTAGAGTCTGCAAGATAGTGTTTGAAGAAGAGAGCTGCAAATAGGAAGCATACTGAAGATCTGCACAGAATCCCCCCTGAGTATGTCTCAGATGAGTGTGTAGTTAGCCAAAGCCAGGGAGAGTCCTACCGGAGAGAGCAGTGAGAAAAATATCAAATGCTCACACCTGACCTGTAATAATGCATGCTCACACCAGGAAGACTAGAAAACCTGAAATTTACAGAGCACTCAGAAGTGTTTGACATCATTAGTGGGAATATTACCCCTGATGAAACAGAGGTTTGATCCTGCCTACCAAATTTCAAAAGGAAGACCTAAAATAACCTTGTTGATTCCAAGAAACTTTACCGCATCCCAGAACACATATCAAGAACATTCATAGGAAAAAAAAAATGTCCAGCACCTAAGAAGGTAAAATAGTGTCTGA